TTCCCCAAGCACTGCCAGTGACATGGTTTGCATCCCCAAAATTGCCAGTTACCAAAATTGCCAATGACCAAAACTGGAAGTGACCAAAATTGCCAGTGACCAAAATTGCCAATGACGTGGTTTCCTCAAATATTGCCAGTGACGTGGTTTGCATCCCCAAAGTACTGTGAGTGACGTGGTTTGCACCCCAAAACAATCCAAGTGTTGCGGTTTGAATCCCCAAAATACTGTGAGTGACGTGGTTTGGTTTCCCAAAATACGGTTGGTGACGTGGTTTGCTTTCACAAAGCCTGGTGAGTGATGCGCTTTTCAGAAACCACATCACTCCCTAGGCCCCAAGTGCAACCCCAAGTGTATTTGTGGCAACTCCCCACAACATGTTTTCAGTGTAATTTCACTTGTTGATTTTAAGACCAGAAAGTGATTCGGAATCTGAATTCCACATCACAAATCCTAGGTTTTTGAATAAGTCAAAATTGGGAAGCCCAAATTTCAAAATCCCAAAAATCTCGACATTCCCCATAGATGCTAGTTTGTGATGTGGAATTCAGATTCCACATCACGTTCACTGCTAAAATCTGTCTTGCCAAAAATACAGTCTTTGGCTGGTTTTAGCAAATCCTGTGCAGCCAAGGTTCCCAAGCTTCCACTGCGCCATGATGCTATTCAGCTCTGTGCCTTGACCAAGATACCCTTGAAGGAGGGGCCAAACATGGTTCATGAGGCAGCAGTTCTGGAGTAGCTCAACCATGCCAGCTTGGTCCCGCTGAGCCATCTTCTGACAAGGTAGCAAAAGATGAACATTGGGAATAATATAAATCTGATACACATGTTTTTTAGGAACCCCCTGCCTTCTGTTTGCTGGGAGCGTTCTTGCCCACCTTCCGGTTGAAATCTGACAGTGCCCGATCTGCCCACAACTCAATGGCATCATCAGTCACTGTCTGGCAGCAAAGGCAGGGCATAAAAAGGTTGTCGTTTGTCAATTTCATGTTTGAAAGACTTGGACTCTGGGATCATTCATGTTTTAGGGCCCCAAAATTTTGAAAGGATATTATTACTATAATTACTCAGTAACCTTGGACAAAACAGTTTAAAATTTAAATGCCCACTGGGTCAGATGAAATTTGTTTGTTCATCTTTGAGGGGGCACGTTAAAAACCCTGCCTGGATATCCTTCCAAATCTTTGGCACATTCTCCAAAAGCTCGGTCCCAGGGACAAAGTAGTCACCCTCCATGTTCTCCATAGTCATGGCTGCAGGGCAAACGGAGGACACTGAACTCTAAGTTAACAACATGACATCTCATTGACTCTTGATTTTCTTCTGGTGGCCTTAAGGCTCCTTAAGGCCACTAGTGGTCCTAAGTCCTTTCAAGTTTGTTAGATTTGATCTTTAATATACACAAGAAAGTTGTTGGGGGCAACAACATTGCAATAAGACATGGGGCCTGCATGCTCAGGCTTCGATTCACTGTAGCAGATTTTCAAAGCTTCCCAAAGCCCACTGGGACATCGAAGCAAGTTGTAGATCAACCGTCGCATGGAGTCAGTCACCCTCCAGCCCTTAGTTGAAATTTTGGAATAAGACATTGATGATTCAAAATTGAACTGAATTTTCTTTTAGGCATGCATATATTAGAGACAAGGCTCGCGATGGTTTCCAACAGTCTTGTTGTAGTCAGCTATGCACCCATATAGGACATCACGAAGGGCACTCTTGCGAGCCTGTGGGGCAGATTGCTTGATCCTCACTGTCTCCTTGAAAAGCAGCATCATATCCAAGGCAGAGGGCTTTGTCTTCTCGGCAGTGCGATTGGCCAGGCCTGGGCTCAGGGGATTTGGAAAAAACAAAATTTGGCTGCAGTTCAATGGATAAAGAAAACCAAGGGCCTGGCAAAGTGTTTCATACAGGAAGTCCTCAGCCTTGGCATGCTTTGTGAAGTTGCACTTGATGTAGCGGAAAGTGGCAATTGTTTTTGCCATACCTTCATCTTCAGACAAAGCATCCTCTGTGATGCCCTTAGCTGCAGGATGGGCAAATCTTTTTCAATATCAGTCAATGATTCTTTGATATTCTTTGATTTTGATGGGGTTAGGATATGGAATGTAAAAAATTGAAACAGGTTCCAAGGATCCAAGTCAATCAGCAAAGCAAGGATGCCAAGCATGATGATGGCTTTGGTCTGGCCATCCACGTAGCCAACTGTGAACGGTTTGATAGTATACACTGACCTGTCAGCCTCCACAGTTGTCATGTCAAACTTGATCTCTAGGCTTTCACGGTGTGCCTCATACCCCCGGTTCAGAAACGAGGGAAAGTGAGCACGGACTTGGTGATTGGCTGGCCATCGGCCCATCAAGCCATACTTGGCACTCTCTGCAAAACTCAGCATCCACAAATCCAGAATTAACCCATTGGAGCTGGTCATGGGCACGTTCATGGCGGGCGACTGGATTGGGATGTGCTTGGCAACGCATTCCATATCAAAGATCTTCTGCATTGCCTTCAGGCAAGATGGTAAAATGGGATAAAGGGAGCTGGGCAGCTATGGGAATTTGTTTGATTGGCCCAAATGCCAGCCTAGGAACATCCATGAAACGATCTGGCCCAGCTTCGTCACGTCCATATTGAAGCCAAAGCCAAGCTCCCATGTTGGAATCTAAAGTGATCTGCAGGGCACAAGATTGTTTCATGTGTAAATTCCATGCTTAAAAAAATTAAAGGCATCAGTAGCAGCTTCAAGATGTGACTTGTTTGGATCAAGCCTCCTCCATTCTTGAAATCAAAGTCTCCTTGATGGACGGTGGGTCTTGACCAGGTTCAATTGCCTGACAGGTAGGGGTCATACGAACACTTAAAAATGATTCAATCAATTTCATCAAAATTGATGCACTGATTTCAATTCATGTATATAATTGCATTGAGGCACCAGTCTTGGATCTCCACCAGTGTTGCCAGACTCCATGTTGCGAGGCTCTGGCTTCAGTATGCTCATGCAAAAGCGAGCGCTACCAACTACTTTCGAGTGGCTTGAAAGCAGCCTGTGTGCAATGGTGTAGTGCCATGCTCATGACATGCCCTCAAATAGACAATGTGGGCCCACACAAAACACAACGTTTGTTTGCTGAAATCTGAACTATATTTTCACCTCATACATGCCAAGCTAGTGGTAGCGATGAAAGGTTACCCTCATGGTATGGAGGGTGTGAATGTCTGGGTTTCCCAGAATCACAGCACCTCTCTGAATCCTAGCAATATTCAAAAGAAGGAATTCAATCCTTCGTGGGGGCACACGAGCCCTAGCAATTTGGCCAGCCAGCATTCGAAGATAATCAATGCCACGGCTATATTGGTGGTAGTTGGATTCAAGATAGTCTGCCAGATCACTTAGCACCTCTTTTCGATCATCATCAAGATAGGCTGCCACACCTGCCAGTTTCAAGCATATCTAATTTTGGGGGCAAACACTTTGGTCATTTGTCATCAATGGCCTGGGACTTGATTTGAGGCACAGCGACGCAGAGCATTCGTGGTCTCATCGATTGCGTTTCCAGGCCATACTGCCAAAATCTGCTGGGAAAGGGTGACATCTGAGATAAAGCCCTTGACCATGAGGAAGACATCATTGGGACTATCCCCGCCAAACCGTGGAGGAATTCGATTCCCAACATCTGCCAGTAGGTGCTGTGGCAAACCTCATGCTGATGGGCAACCAGTGGTTACCTGGTGATTTGAGTTGGGTTCCCCTAGTTGTTGCTATCAGGTACCCCTCCAACTTCACCAGCCCAACCACCAGTTAATGACCAAAATAATATTAAAACTTGGTAATGTTATTTTTTGAAAGACATAAATTAGTTCTAGAAAATTGATTGAGCCAGGGCACAATCCCTTCTTGCAAACACAAAGCTATGGGGAATCTCCTTCAAGTCATGATTCAGCTTCCGTTTCCGGTATGCCCCTGACAGAGTTGAGTACTTTGCCAAAGAATCTGTCCAATTGCGAATGCTTGTGATGTACTCTGCATGGAACTCAATGCCAGCACGTGCAAAACCAGAATGTAGCCGTTGTTTCAACCACCTGAGCCACAGGCATTGAGGA